CTGAGCAACTAAATACTAAGAATTTAGCACAAATAAGTGCAGCATGTGGAAAACAGAAAAATATCTAAAATAGCCTTTACGAGAGATCATTCTCTTGGCCCCACCAGTTATGGATTCTAGTCACTTCTTTGATGTAAAATAACTAAAAGTTGCCATCAGAATTTGCTCTAAATATTTTAGTATTCATGTTACATAAATATGCATAGTGAGCTGCATACAGGTCTCAATAAAATGGTAATGGATTAGTCAATAACCTAATTCAACAATTACCTAAGTTAACAAAGTCTAATTTAAAGATTATCTCTCAGTATTGCATATATATAACATACAAACAAGTGAATACTAACGACGCTTTCTTAAAAATGTGAATACTTTTTGATTCTGCAATTCTACTTTAAAGAAGTTAACTTAAGCAACTAATTAAGAATACGAATTAATTTGTGGCTATAAAGATAGTCCTTACGATATTATTTATAATAGCAACCTAAATATCCAACAATAAGAGATTGGTTATAGCCATTTTAAAAATTATTCTATGGATATTTATTGGCATAGACTGTGTTCATTAGATTGAAAAAGCAGGTTACAGAGCAATGCAATCCCGTTTATTTATTATACACACGTGAATGTGTAAATATATGTGGGAATATGTAAATGTGGAAGAGACAGAATAAAAGAGCAAGGAAGGGCATACACGAAACAGATTTAGTTAGGTTGGTGCAAAAGTAATTGTGGTTTTTGCCATTGAAGGTGATAGCAAAAGCCACAATTACTTTTGCAACAACCTAATAAAAGCAGTTTCACTGAATAGTAGTATTAGGAAAGATATTTCTTTTACATATTTTTGATTTTTCTTTATCCTAATCTAATATTTTTCTATAATAAATAGTTGTCACCACTGTAATATGAAAAAAACTAAATTTTTAATCAAAACTATGTTGGTGATCAGAATGGGTGTTTCTTAATTCATTTATTCCACCTGAAAGTGCCACATATAATACACACATGGACAACAACACAAAACTTTAAGCACAAAATAGACCTATGAGCCCAATGGACACCCAAAATCTGTATCTTTTATTCACACAGTTGAACTGTCATTTCTCTTTACACCAGCCTAATTACTTCACCTCCATGGAGCTATTATGCCCTGCTTCTCCCCTTAGCCTGCTTGTTACTTTTTTTTGTTTGTTTGTTTTTGAGACAGAGTTTTGCTCTTGTTGCCCAGGCTGGAGTGCAATGGCACAATCTTGGCTCACTGCAAACTCTGCCTCCAGAGTTCAAGCGATTCTCCTGCCTCAGCTTCCCGAGTAGCTGGGATTACAGGAACCCACCACCATGCTCAGCTAATTTTTTGTATTTTTAGTAGAGACGGGGTTTCACTATGTTGGCCAGGCTGGTCTCAAACTCCTGACCTCAGGCGATCCACCCACCTCAGCCTCCCAAAGTGCTGGGATTACAGGCATGAGCTACCGCCCCTGACCTTGTTAGTCTTTTTATTCTTTTTTACAGGCTTCTTGTTTCAGTCAATTTGGGCTACTATAATGAAACACCATAGACTGGGCAGATTAAACAGCAGAAATTGTTTCCCACAGTTCTGGAAGCTGAGAAGTCCAAGACCAAGGTGCCAGCTGGTTTGGTTCCTGGTGAGGGCTCTCTTGCTGGCTTGCAGACAGCTGCCTTCTTGCTATGTCCTCATATTCCTTTTCTCAGTTTATGCACATGAAGAGAGAATGAGACTTCTCCCTCTTCCTTCTTATAAGGCCACTAATCCCATCAGAAAGGCCCCATCCTCATGGCTTTATCTAACCCTAGTCACCTCTCAAATCCCCATCTCAAAATACCGTCAAACTAGAAGTTAGGGCTTGAACATATGGATTCGAGGGGAACACAAACCTTCAAAGTCCACAGCATTTCTCTTCCTCTGATTAAATATGAATGTTTCACAGGGCTCTGTCCTGATGTTCTACACATCCTCCACCCTTCACACACACTGATGGTTTTCACCACATCTTTTTAAAATCTCAAGTATGTACTACTATCCCAGGGAGACCCAAACTTCAAATCCAGACCTAAATCTCTCTGGGGTCCCACAAACAGCTCAAGCAAACACACCCTAAAGTTTCTTCCCTTATTGAATCCTATCTCTTCTTTGTGTTTACCATGGGGGTGAATGAATGGCACAACCATGTACACATTCACCTGAACCAGCAGCCTGGGAGACCACCTACACTCTTCCCTTTATGATACAAAGCTTTGTATCATAAGCTTTGGCCAGTCCTACCCAGAGAAAGATCACAAAATAGATAAGAAGTGTTCAGGTCCAGAATCATATGGAGAGAAAAGAGAAATTGCTCAATCCAGAACTTTAAGACCCAGAATTCAGACTTTAGTGTGAGGAGTGTGACCTGCCTTGCATGGAACTATCAGTGGTTCTAGGTGCTAATGTAACCAAGCTCATAAAACTCACAGTTCTTAGCCTCTCTGGCCTGGTGGACATGTCACTTACGTGGATTACCAACATCTGCAAAATATGGGAAACCACTAGAAACAAGAAGGGCAGTGGGAGGCCTTTGTTCTGATCCCACAAATGGCATTAGTTTGCTGATTTGAGGTTTTGTAAGCAAACCAAAGTAAATGCAACCTTGAACAGAGGTGAAGTGGTACTTCTCACTAGATTTGGCTTGCCTCACATTGATCCTATAGATTTCTCAAATACATCTCAAATTTCCTTTTTCCATTTCCTTTATTAGCTCATGTTCTAGCCATTTCTCTCCAAGATGAGGGCTCAGCTCCTAGTTTTCGCCCTCACTGAAATCTTCTCCGACTCTTACCTATTCTCCACACTGCCCCAGGAGCCATCTTTCTAGCATGTTGCCCGTTGAAAATCCTGGAATGGCTTCCCATCTCCCCCTGAAATAGAAGTCCTCTCCCGCAGGCTCCTGCTGGCCTGTCCACACCTTTGCACCTGCATCCTCCACACTGTGGCTGCACTTGCCATTCCCAAGCACTCTACTCTCTGTCTCCTCCACTCAGTGCAGGTGCCTTCACTCACCCTGGCTCTCCCCCTGCCCAACCTCCCAACTCCTCTCCCATTGAGAACTTCCCTGGGAACACTCCCCAACACCAACCCCCAGAGGTTTCAGAGCTCCTTCCTACTTGCTCCCATCATTCTTCCAGGGCATAGCCTCCAGGGTAGCCAGATCTCGCTATATTTTATAGCAGGTGTTTCTTGACCTCTCTCCACCACACTGAAGGCACTTAGATAGGCATGGAGGCTTTTCACCTTTCTTCTGACATGTAATTTGGGGCTTGGACATAAATATTCAAGAAGTATTTCTGAATAAATGGTTTAAATAAAATGAACAAACCAAAGAATGACTGAATGGCGCTGATGATAATAGGTATTCACCTCTAGGGTGAAAACCTGCTTCAATAGTGCTTAGGAATCCTTGCCTTTAGAACACTGAAATTGGATAGTGATGTTAGCCTTGTGAAGCTATTTGGGTTATGTGGAAATCAGGGGAGTCAGGATAATCCAAAGAGGAAAAGGCGTAAGAGACCGGCCTGGAGAGATTTTCAAGTTTCTGCCATATTAGGGTTTTTCCAATAGCCGCAAGAAGATATTGCAGCTCAAATCCACCTTTTCTTAGCAAATAAGCTCCAAAAGATGATCCGGAGAAAACAAATTCCATTGAAAGCAATGTTCCATTAATCAGGGGCTCTGAGATGTGACCTGCCCAGGCAGCTATTGGCCTCTTCTGCCATTTTATATTTCCTCTTTAATCAAATCGCTGGATGTTACAGTTCTCAACTTGCAGAGATTTAAAAGGCACTTTGATTAATGGACTTGATCAGTGTCCGCTCTTGTTTAACCATGGTGCTCTCCTCTGCGTTTCACACCCACATCACACCATCCCCTTTTATTACAGGAACTGAAGAATGTGATGGCCTGCCAGACAGCAGAGTAATTTATGAAAAATACATTTTTAAAGGGAGAGTGTATTAAAGCTTGAAAAGAACTCAGAGCCCGTTGCTATTTTAATTTTAAATAGGCTATGCAAATAATTAAATGTCAGGTCATACTGACACCATCAAATTTAGGAGAGTATAGATGGTATACAACCCCAGAGTCCTAGAGAATATTAAATCAGATCTGTCAGGGCACTGCCATCATATCCTGCTTTTGACATGAAACAACAGTATCTATTGGGTTAAAAATGAGCCAATTTTCCAAAACCTCTACCTGCTACAAACGTTTTCACATATACCACAGCTCTTTAAAAAGAGATAAAGAGAAATTGAGACGAATTCATAAATACATTTAAGCACTAAATCCCTCTTTGGTTTTTTTATTTTTCTTAAGCCTCTCCTGCCTCACAAAAGCCTATTTCAAATATTGGCTTCAAGGAGAAGATGGATAAGAACAGCCAATATTCAGGGCTAAGGTAATGGATGCTGCTCACCCTACTTTAGAACAGTTTAATTTGGATATTTACCTGAACTCTGCTCATGACTTTGTACACCTGAGTCTCAATCAGGCACACCAACGTGTACTGTGTACCGTGAGCTATATACTGTGTTCTGTGGTGCAGCTCTTTCAGATTAGCAGGAAAGTTTTAAAAAAATCCTCTTAAAATGACATTGAGAAAGCACAAATTGTCAGTGAACAAATATTTATTGTGCACCTACTATGTGCTAAGAATTCTGCAACATTGTAGAAGTGTCATGACGAATAAGACAATGAGGAGAAGAGATAGCAGAAAATATGCCTTTCTTCTTTTCAGTTGCCTAACTAGTGATTCTGGGAATTCTTCCTTCCAGAGTACCTAATAACTGGTTATCCCACAATGGCCCAGCATCAAATTGAATGTCAAAAGGAAACCAGTCTTGCATCTGGGATTGGTTGGTTGGCCAATAAACACCAGTGACAAAAGCTTTGCATTGACCCTGGTAATTTGTCTCTCCATTGCCCATGGCAGACATCACCAATTACAGCATTTGGCCATCTACTCCACAATTATTTATTGAGTGATTCCTACATGTCAGCACTCTAACAAACACAGCAGATCCTGCAGTGGACAAGATAAACAAAGTCCTTGCCCTCTTGGAACTTACATTCTCATGGGGAAAAAAGGCAATAGACAAGAAAAATAATTTTAGATAATGAGTGGTGATAGGATACAATTAGGCAAGGAAATACAATTAGGCAAGGAAAGGGGATAGTGTGTGCCTGAGGGAATGGGGGAGAGAGAACACTTTTTAGCTAGGGTGGTCAAAGTTATCTCAGTAGAGGTCACATTTGGAGAGAAACCATGAGATCTATTCCACTGGCTCCTCCTCAGGACAGCACTCCAGGCAGCCATTACCAGTCAACTGCTGATCAGACATTTATTTGCTATGAACAAGCCCTGAGTAAGGCATAGTAGGGGATGGAGAAGAATCCAAAGTAAAAAGCATTCAGTGTAGCTATGGGATACATATTTAACAAAATCAAACATTACAAGATTGAAAGAAGACTTGAAATACTTGGATTCTGGTCTTATTTTAACCTTTTAGACTCTCAGTTTCCTCATTAATGAAATAAGAAGGTTGGATGAAATAATCTATACAATTCCTTTCAGATCCTATGGTCAATAATTCTAAGAAGTAAAGTGGGGTTTAGACAATTGGAGAGAGAGGGTAGATTAAGTAGAGAAGTATTTTTGTAAAAGAGGTCATTTGAACAGTCAGAGGAGAAATGAGACGTAGCTATGACTTCCTGGAGGCTTCTGGATGACCAGCAGAGCCACCGTCAGCTTCTGGTTTTGCAAACAGTGTCAACTACTACCATCCAAAGCAGTTTTCACCTTGAATTCTGCATATAGGCCCATTGGTGTGGTCTTCTCAGCCGGGTGCACATTCAAAATCTCCAGTATCCCAGTCGTCATCTGCTCATCTCCAAACACAAAGATCTACACAAAGGCAAATCATCATGTTGTGAGACAAAGAAGAAAGGGTTATTAGAGATTCGTCGGAAAGAATCTGCCTTTCACTGCTGACTGCGACAGGGGAGTCACCACTTCAGAAGTGCCACAGGAGAGAATTACAGGTTTGCACAGTCATGATGGGTCTGGATCAAGACTCAGGTATTTATTTTGTAAATTCTTGATTTTGCTCCACAATAGCATTAAAAACAGGACCCAAGTGCATAAAAATGTCCTCTTTTTATACAGGTAGTACTTCAAGTTTGAGTCCTTAGCCATAACCCAGATACTTATATGTTACTACGATACTGTGAGTTTGGATGATAAATGACTCAAATTTATTTTGTGGGTACAAAGTGCTTCATAAATACTTAATCTCCACAGTGATTTCAACTTAGAATTTCTGACTCTATTTGGACTTCTCTTTATCCAAGTCACACCGGGTCCTTGTTCTGTTTGTAAATATGCAATGTTCTGCACCACTCCCCCTGCTGCTGATGGATGCTGACTTGGGTCCTGCATCCAGGCAGCCTGAGAGATGCAAGAGAAGCCAGGAATGGCCTTTTGAGTAGCCTATGATCCCAGAACAGCCCCACTGATTTACTGTATCTCCCGTTTTCCATGCTCTGGAGCAAAGACGGAACCATCTTTGTGACCTCTGCCAGACCACAGGGTTGGATGTTTTCATGAGAGGACGCTCTCTCCAGAGAAAAGCACATGATAGCAATCCAGTATTCTGGACCCACCAATTGTTCATCCATCAAATCACAGTCCCCACCCTTCTGCCAGGAGTGAAACAGAAAGGTGATGAGGGACTTGCTTTCTCTGGGAACATACTAGAAATGGCAGTACAGACATCATCTCTTCTATTTCCCTCCTAAAATAGCACTCCTGAAGACACTTGGCATGGCTTTGGCCTACACTCCAGAGACCCTTGAGGATCAGGCTGGAGTCTACTGGCCTGAAAATGCGTGGTTAGTTACAGAGCACAGCAGCAAAACGACTTAATCTCTCTGGTCTTCAGTCTTCCCATTTATAAAATGAATGTTTAGGTCTGTCTCTTAGGCATTAACCTCATGGTAGCCTATTTGATGAATTAGCCTGGTTTGAAATCCCATCTGGCACTTACTGCTTGTGCTGCCTGGCCTCAATTTACTTGTCTATATAATGGAAATAATACTCACTTCAAAGAGTAACTGTAAGAAAGAGATTAGTTAAGCACATGACACAATTGTTAAACTGCAGTGAGCTGTCTCACCTTATTTCTGTAGGCAGAGTCCTCTTACCTTACCATCCAACGGAGTTCTCTTTCCCACGGAGGTGCTCACTAAACCTGAGCACCTCCAAATCCAATTTGACAACAAAATTGCAGTGCAGCCCAAACCCTGTTTGAATGAAGAGCTTATCTGGATCGTTTCTGTTGAAGATGAATATCCCAGGCTCATCACACCTCCCAACTTGCGAAATCGGTGAGAACAACCAGGCATGCAACACAAAATGGGGAAAGGAAAAGCAGGCCCCCAGGAGAGAGTGTTAAGGGCATATATATCTGCTCTATTATCTTAGTGACTTAGGACAACAACCATTTTAGCTTATCTCGTGATCTTGCGGGTCAGTTTCAGGGACAGTTTAGCTGGGTGATGGTATCAGCTGAGGTCAGTCTGTGGTATTTAGATGTTGAGTGGGCTGGACTGGAGGGTCCAAAACAGTTTCACCCATGGTTTGGGGGTGGGAATGGCTGGAGGGCTGGGCTCAGCTGGATCCGTCTACCGGAGCATCCACCCATAACTATGCCAACATGGCGGTCTCAGGGCGTCAGACTTCTTACACGGTAAGCTGACACTTAGAGAGAGTGTTTCAGGAGACCAAGGCAGGAACTTCAAGGCTTCTTCTGATCTAACCTTGGAAGTCATGCACCATCACTTCTACCACATTGTAATAAGCAAGTCCTCAAGGCTGGTCCAGACCCTAGGAGGGGAATAAGACTTCACAGCTCAATGGGACAAGCAGCACAGAATTGGCAGCCATCTTTAATCAACCTCAATACCTGAGCCTCAGTTCTGCTCTGTAGAACGGGCTGTGGTTAGACGTCTCCCATCTTTGCATCCATTCCAGTGTCACTGCCAACGTCTTTAATACCTAATGAGGAAGCCAAAGGCGAGAGGTCACAGGGCAACAAAAGACCTCCAACAAGTAGGACCTAGAGGCTCCCCTGACTTGCCACCATCTCAAAATGTCTGCTGTGTTCAGCTGCCTTTCATCAGCCTGGAACCCGGATAGCCAAAAACTCCTCACAATTTCTGCTTCACAGAGACCTGTACTGTGGATGGGAGGCTGTCTGGAGGCTGGCGCCCCCCGGAAGCTCTCTGCCAACTACTGTTTTCCTGATGTGAAGCCTGCTGACATGTGGAGGGGAACTCCATTTTCTCAGGAAGGACAGGGAAACTGAGTGCGTGAAATGGGCTGTGTGCTTTTGCAGCTGATAGCTATTGTGCAAGAAGAACTCAGGCCCTGTTAGGGTTCCCAGGGTCCCCAAGCCCTCCCCATGAATTGAGAGCATCCAAGGGCTCGCAACAACAAAAGGTTAATTTTTCATATGTTGCCTTCACCGTGAGTCAGTTATGGCTTTGTTCTGCATCATCTTTACTCCAGGACCAGGACTGAGAAAGCAGTTTCTGTCTGGGACAGTGCCAGTTGCTGTTACAGAGGGAAAGGTAAACACAGTGATTCTTAATCCTTCTGCTCAGAGGCTACACCTGTCACTTACATGCGTGTGTCATTGGTTACACCTGTCACTTACATGCGTGTGTCATTGGTTACAGCAAGTCAAATGGTCACACTGCATTCAACAGAGCAAGGACGTAGAATCCTCCCGCTGCAGGGAGAAGCCCTGCAGAGGAGGGTGACACAGTATTTGGTGAACATTCATATGATCCTCCACAGTCTGTTCTCTGGTTACCAAATACACAGTTCTCTCCCCTCTTCTCACAGTAGATCACACTTACTGCTCCCCAAGGGACACAACCCAAAACTCCCCTCCAGGCACTGCTCAGAGCTGAAAGTCCAGGATCTGTGCCAAAGCACAAGCCTGTCTAGAGCAGGTTTGGACACGCCTCCTTTAGATGGGGACACCAAAGAAATAACAAGGCAAGTCACCTGCTCCCACACACAATCCCAGTATGCAGCTGGGGACAGGGACACAATAAACACTCTCATTTGGAAAGAGAAGCGTGGGAGGCACACAGGAGTCACTGACCCGTGTCATTTTAAAGTCCCCCCAGGGGACAATCGTGAGCAGCCCTTTTCCTAAGGGTGGGGAATATTCCTTGACCAGCCCCACTGATTGTTTTCCCTGGGAGAAACTTTCTGCCCCATTTTTCTCTCTGGCCCCAGGCTCTGCCCACTGGGAGGGCCTCTCAATTTCCTACCTGCCTGAGCTGTAGCTGAAAAGGACCTTAAAGAATGTGCACTCCCTGGGATGCCAAGCTGGCCTTCAGCCTGCTTCCTACCTACAGATGTTGGAGTCCACAGGCTGTTTTAAGCCTCAGACAGGCACAGTCTCTTCACTCCAGCCACTGGCTCCTTTGCCTGTGCAATTCTCTTACAACGTAAATTGGTTTCTTCTATGTTTGAGTGTAGTCTGTATCTAGAACCATGAAAGATAATAATAAAATGAGGCTGGGCGCCGTGGCTCACGCCTGTAATCCCAACACTTTGGGAGGCCAAGGCGGCCAGATCACGAGACCATCCTGGCCAACATGGTGAAACCCCATTTCTACTAAAAATACAAAAATTAGCCGGGCATGGTGGCGCACGCCTGCAGTCCCGGCTACTCGGGAGGCTGAGGCAGGAGAATCGCTTGAATCCAGGAGGTGGAGGTTGCCCTGAGCCAAGATCTCGGCACTGCACTCCAGCCTGGGTGACAGAGCGAGACTCCGTCTCGAAAAAATAAATAAATAAAATGATTACTTTCGCTCCAAGACCCTTACTTTTAGGTTAGCTTGTTATGCAGCTCTAGATAACAGAAGAACATTGTTTAAAAAATACAGATACCCAGGCCCACTCAAGGCCGCTTCAATCAGAGTCCCTGGCAGAGAAGCCTCCGCAGCACTGATTCATTTCTCCAGGTGCTTCCATTGTGGTTGAGGGTTGAGAAGCTGCTGATCTTCCATAGGCGATGCCGGTGAAGAAACCCAGGGATCTAGGCAAAAAGTCATCTTTGGCTTCTCCTTACCAGAAACTACTCTTTAAATTTTTTCTCCCACTGCGTTCACTTAGTGAACACAGCCTGCTACAATTCGGTTAGTATATATTACCAATGGTAAGTAAAGTTCTGGAAACTACATCATATGAGGAAAGTGTGGTAAAAAAAAAAAAAAATGGGGAGACACATAATCCTGAGAAGAAAAGATAAGGGAATGCAACATTTACTTATTTTCACATATTTAAGTAGTGTATGGAAAGCTTTTTTCTGCTCACTAGAAAGCAATGGTTAACCACTAGATAGAAATAACAAGGAAAAAGATTATGCTTAATATGAATTTCTTTTTTTTTCTTTTGCCTTCACCCCCACCCTTACCTCTAATTTTTGTTTTTAATCAGATGGAGAAATCACTTTTTCCTAACAGCAGTTATGGAAATATCTCTAACCGTGGTGGTGATTTGGGCTGTTTACAGGTAACCTAGTGCTCACTCCTTCTGAGCACAGGTAGGACTTCATTTCCCCACCCCTTCCAGGTTAGGAATGGCCTCCTGGATAGCCTTGGTCAAAGACATGCGATGGGAAGTGCTGTGGATTCCTCCACCCGAAAAACTTCAAGAGCCGTTGTGCAAATTACCACATCCCCTTTCTCTCTTCTCGGATATTGACATGTGGAGGCACCGTTAGCCTGAGTCCTGAGTGAAGACATACAGCAGACCTCTCAGCAAGATTGTCAGCTCAAACACAGGATGTCCAGTTACATCTGACTAATTTTAGGAAAAAGTAATAATTTTTAGTATGCAATATTTGAGATATACCTATACTAAAAAATTTGCCAATCATCTGAAATTCAAATTTGAATGTCATGTATTTTTCTTTGCTAAATCTGGCAACCCTATCCTTAAGTGATTCACGGTCGTCGTGAAACCTCAGGAGGAAATAAACCTTGTTATTTTAAGCCACAGAGATTGGGGATTGTTACTGTCATCCGCGTCCATGTGAAGAGACCACCAAACAGGCTTTGTGTGAGCAATAAAGCTTTTTAATCACCTGGGTGCAGGCAGGCTGAGTCCGAAAATAGAGTCAGCGAAGGGAGATAGGGGTGGGGCCGTTTTATAGAATTTGGGTAGGTAAAGGAAAATTATAGTCAAAGGGGGTTGTTCTCTGGCGGGCAGGGGTTGGGGGGTCATAAGGTGCTCAATGGGGGAGGTTTTGAGCCAGGAAAAGGAATTTCACAAGGTAACGTCATCAGTTAAGGCAGGAACAGGCTATTTTCACTTCTTTTGTGGTGGAATGTCATCAGTTAAGGCAGGAACCGGCCATCTGGATGTGTACGTGCGGGTCACAGGGGATATGATGGCTTAGCTTTGGCTCAGAGACCTGACAGTTACTGCCAAATAACTTAGCCTATCCTGACTTAACTACTTCCCATCTCTGATGAGGGAATATGTTGAAGAGGCCTAAGTGTAGCCTGAATATTTGAAAGGAAGAAGACAGTTTCTGTACATAATAAAAGAGAAACTTGGGAGCTCTGGGACATAATTTGAGAAGGAAGGACGGGTATAAAATTGGTATAACACAGCCTCAGCCATCGGAGAACTTCATGGCTACTTGGAAAATAAAAATTAAAAATAATAATAATAATAATAATGGTAGAGAAAATTCCTGAAAATAAAGAGGCCATGTGGGTTTGGAGCAGGCATGGAAGGACTTCATGGGGAAAGGAGGTTTGCCTGGCCAGGAGATAACCAAGTAAGTAGGACTGGGGTTGTAGAAGGGCTGAGAGCAGCCATTCCTCAGGGAAATGAGTAATCATGGTTTGTCTGTGAGATTATTGTCCAGAATTGCCAGAGTCTACAAGACCAGCTGTCCCTGCAGGGCTGGAGATACAGTGCGAGGTGGTGTGGAAGTTGTAAGAATCAAAACAGAGTTACTAACGTCTTTTCTTAAAAAAAAGCAAAAACAAACAAAACCCAAAAAAACTCAACAGGCTGTGTGCAGTGGCTCACACCTGTAATCCCAGCACTTTGGGAGGCTGAGGTGGGCAGATCACCTGAGGTCAGGAGTTCGAGACCAGCCTGGCCAACATGGTGAAACCCCATCACTACTAAAAATATAAAAATTAGCTGGGCGTGGTGGTGGGCACCTGTAATCCCAGCTACTCAGGAGGCTGAGGAGGGAGAATCGCTTGAACCCGGGAGGTGGAGGTTGCAGTGAGCCAAGATCAGGCCACTGCACTCTAGCCTGGGGGACAGAGCAAGACTCCATCTGGGGGTGGGGGGAAACTTGACAAATAGAGCTAGGGAAGGCCAAGAAGAAAGGGCTCCTAAATTTGTATGCCAGATAACAAAAACCAACACAAAAGACTCTGCAAAACCACAACCTTGCACAAAGGCCATCACAGCCTTCCACATTAAAAAAAAATAAAAATAAAAACCCTCCGCAAGGACATCCGCCCAGCAACTGCCCGTCTAACCTTGGACTGGCAACCCCTTTGTTATTGATCTTTGTAACCAAGGATAACCATTTCAAAACAAGTATGAAATCCTCCTCACTTTTTATGTGAAAACTTTCTCTTCCTTTCTTCCTTTGCCTCCTTGAATATGCACATAGTTTACCGTGGCATGCATATTACCATTGCAATGCTCTGCTCCTGCATAAATGCCTTTCTTTACAGAGCCTCTCACTGTGTGGTTATGTAGGTTGACAGGGGCCAGCTGGACCCAAGTTTACTGCCTCTGGCAGGCAGTGGTGATAAGAGGGAGTAAAAGCACCTTGTTGGGGAGTTGAAGGGAAAGACCTTTCAACGCACAAACCCAGGAACTTTCACTACCTTTTGTTTGAAGCATCGGTGTTATAAGAAAATTCCTTGGCAGCAAGGGCCTGGCTCTCTTCTTCTCCATGTGTCCGCATGCCACATGGGTCCCATGCTTAGCCCACGGCGAGTGTTCAAAAAGCATAGAATGTATGGCGGGATAGGGCGCACTGTGTATACACTGTGACGCCCTTTTAGCCGCGACAGTAACTCCCCGTGGCCACCAGGGGGAAGCAAGGTGCCTCAAACCATAAACGGCTCCGGGCTTCAGAATCCGGGCGGGAACAGTTAGTGATTCGCAAAAGCCAGTTGGTGCCTGGATGCCAGTCTCTGCCAGCATTTTCATGGGATCACGGCTAAGGGGGGGTAGAAAACAGCAAAACAGTCATTCTCTTCTTCCATAAAGCTATGTGCATCTAATGTAAAGGATTATCCTACTTGGAGATTGTCGTTTTCACTTTTCTGTCATTCAAACATCCTTTCTTTTGTGAATGGTGGTGACTATACGTGGTAGAGTTTGTTTATTGTTAATATTCTTATGTAAGTAAATAAATAGTGGGAACCTTTTTGCATTCCAGAATGTTTTTAGAAAACTACTTTTTAGTCTTGTAAAATCAAAACAGAGACCCATTAGCGTGGAATGTGGGGATCAGCTCAGCATCGCGGGGCTGGGGGCAGCGACCCCCACCCTGGCTCCCCAGCCTTCTCTCCTGCCACCTACGCGTCCCTCCTTTCTGCTTACTCCTCTCCTGATCGACAGGTCAGCTCAGGGTCCTGCTTCCAACCTCCTCCGCCTAGTTGAAGCTGGTTCTCAGGAAAGAACTTGCCATCCGCAGCTTACACCTCGGGGAGAATTTAAATCACTCTTTTCCCGTCCCAGGAAACTTTGCCTTTCCAGTCTTATCTCTGATTCCAGAATGCAGGTCTGTGTGGCCGGTTCAAGGAATTTCAAGCATCAGCAGGCAGAGGAGAATACCAGAGTGGAAGGCAGCCCACAAGGTGTTGAAAGCACGCCACCCAGGGAGCCTGCAAATCCCACCCCTTCTGTTAGAGAGTTTGGTGGGGAGCACTTCCAATGCAGGGAACAGAGTCACTGCAACCTCCACCTCCTGGGTTCAAGTGATTCTCCTGCCGCAGCCTCCCAAGTAGTCGGGATTACAGGCGCGTGCCACCATGCCAGGCTAATTTTTGTATTTTTAGTGGAGAGGGAGTTTCACTATTCTCTTTTCTCTCCCCAAGCCGGGCAAGTTGTATCTATTTACCACATGTTCTCCCACATCTATTCGGTTTTACCTCTGTAATACCTGAACTCAAAAGCCAAGAAAAAACCTCTTTCTCTATAACTTTACCTTTTCTGACATATGCCTCCCTGGCAAAATGAAGCAGGGAGATCTGGTAAGCAAATGCCAAGAATAAAATGATTAATAATGTGAAGATATTCAGATTGCCCAGCTCACTGAACCTGCGTGAGGATCCAGCATTGTCCCTAGTGTGAACAGCTCAGTGCACCGAGATAACCAACCGCCTGGGTTTGCTTTACCGTCAGTGCTAAAGGCAGGAAGGCACCTGCCAAACCAGGACAAGGGGGTCACCCCATGGTGAACATCAGTTACCCTCCCCAGCCCACACAGGCAGACAACCTGGGGAGACGACGGCTCAGGGCTTAGAACCCAAAGGCCTGAACAAATGAGG